ACTCTGAGTTTGAGGCCAGCCTGATCTACAAGCAAGTTCCAGGACAGCCTCCAAAACAATACAGAGAAACCCTGTCTCAAAAAACCAAAATAAAATAAAATAAAATGTTTTGGGAGATACACAATCAGTTATGTGAGTAGAAAACCCAGTCTGAGCATCTTTCTTAGAGTTACTCTTATTCTCCACATTTTAACTCTGTTGTTTTCACACGGTAAATGTAACAGGATTCTAATAGTATTGAGTGCAACCATAGAACATTGATTGACTGACTGACAACTTTAGCTATATGCTATTGTTACAGAAACTCATTTTTATTTTACTTTCCAATTCTATGTGTTGTTGCTCCCAGTCAGTGGGGTTGAACAGATTTGAGTCACTTTTCCTTTCACTTGCTTTCTTATTCTATAGACCTTTATAAGATGTGTGCTGTAGGACTCTCGCTAGCTACTAATCTGAACCAAGTGTCCCTTTGACCCTTGTTATGTGAGTAATTGTATCCCTTCCTTGTCCTCACACCTTTGGGAGTAATAATGTTATTTTGAAGAGGTGCCTTGGTGGCTGTGCTCCACAAGACATGACTGATGGTTTTCCTCTATAAAGCCTAGTACCAGAATGAATTTCAAGTTTTGGTGTTGGAAATGGTGGTTAGTAACATTTTAAAAGCGTTTAGAATTGAGTGCTGCATAGGCTAATTTATAACACACACAAAAATTTTAAGAGATTGATATATAAGTGTTCATAAATAATCCCAGTGAGTCCTAAGGGCTTATTTAAGTAAACAGTGCCAGTTTTGACCTATGAGAACTCTTAAAACATGCATTTTATTTTTATAAACAAAGCCTGTAATAGTACCTACTTGAGTTGGTTTAAAGCATTCATACCCTGTCTTTTGAAGAATTTTCAATATTTCATGTGGATAAGGTCAGAAGGAATGTGTATTCTTGTAGATTTTGTAAGAATATTTATGAGTCTATATGCACAGAAACTGCCAAAGTCATTCTGAATAGATTGTGCTTATTAAATTATTGTTGTCATATTGAGTTGTCTGCAGTCATGGCTCACTTTAGAAGAAGCTTTATCCCCTTATTTGTGGGGTTATTGATATCTTTAATTTATTAGTCTACAGATGTATGCTTAAAGTATTTTTTGAACCTATATGTGCAAAACTAAAAGCAGTTTTAATGAAATTGTTTTTCAGTCGCATTGTGGCTTGTCTTAAATGAGGCTAAACTGACTCAGAAGAATGTTCTTGTGCATTTGCCAAGAGACTTCTGGGATGGGCTTATTTTTAAGAACTCAGAACATAAACAACTGTGATCTGTGGCAAGAGATTTAAATGACCTCATTATGACAGTGAGAACAAAGCATTTTTAAGTTATTGTGGTGGTGTGTTAATTCTTTGCAGTGTGTTTGTCATTCTTCTATTTTGGTATGTTAAGGGAGAGGGCCCAGGCAAAGAAAACTACAGGCTGACTTGAACTTAAGATATTATTTCTTTATTGCTAGAAACAAACTAGGTTTTGATTCATTTTCTGTTGGAAATAATATGTTCTAAATAACAAAGATCAAACACTCGGCAGGAAATAAGATCGTTCCTTCAAATAGATCGAGACAGGAGTGTGTATTAAGTACTTATTGTGTGATTGGGACTATGCTAAATATTATGGAATGTGAAAGAAAATGACTCTACACTGTTTTTATAGTACAGAATTGACATACGCAGATAGAACTTAGAAAGAAAACTATATAATTGAGTACCAAATAAAATTAAATAATCACATAACTGCTTTTCAGAAACTACCTCTAGCCGGGTATGGTGGCACATGCCTTTACTCCCAGCTCTTGGGAGGCAGAAGCAGGTGGATCTTTGTGAATTCACATCATGAGTTCCAGGCTACACCTTATCTCAAAAGAATGAAAACAACAGGTCTTAAAGATTTAACTATCCTAATAATGTGCCTTTGAAATTTGAGGTTAGACTGATTATATGCAGATCTGCGTGCATTATATATGTTACTCTTTCCTATTATGTGAAATAACTTGTTTTTATCAGAATTTATTGCCTTCTCCTATATGAGGTTCTCATCTTACATTCCCTGAGTACATTACTGGTTCATTTGAAGATCTGTATATGACTTTTTATCATTTACATATCTCCTACAATCTATGTGCTAATGTGAAGTGTTTTTCTCATAAAGAATAGGTTTTAATGATTTATTTCATGTGTATGAGTGTTTTATTCAGTTGTATATTATGCACTCAGGGCATGCTTGATACTTACAAAGGACAGAAGAGGGCATTGGATCCCTAGAACTGGAGTTCCAGATGTTTTTGAGCTACCATGTCATGCTTAGAATCAAATCTGAGTCCTCTGAAAGAACAACCAGTGCTCTTCTGACCTGTCTCTCCAATCCCAGATACATTTTTTAATTGACAACTGTATTTCTGTTTTGGCATCTAACAACTCAGAGCTCCTACCTTCAGTATTTCATAAAAAGAAACTTAAAGTACATATAATTTAATTTAATACTTTTCTAGGTCCTATAAATTTGGAGATTAAGTCTTTGCCTAAAAGCTAGGAAACGAACCTTAGAACTCATCTGTTTCAACCTGGTCTTTAATACTCACAGCTTAAAAGCACTGTTGTTAGTAGTTCTATATATTTAGACGTTTACCGAGTAGTATGAAGTTCAAAATGGGAAAAGTGCATGTGGGAGGGAGGGTTTGCACATCTACTCTCTACCACATTTATTTTGCATCCTGAGACCAAAGGTGAGATTGATTGAGTAGGTAGAGGGTGTAGGCATTTTGGGTGGATCGGGATGGGTATTCTGGCACTCGGGAGCCAAGGACTACCACAGGCCACAGTAAGTTTAGCAGCTTACAGCCTTGCCTCAGGGAAAGGCTTCCCCAGTGTATCAGCTCCACTCCAGCAGAACAGGGTCTTCTAGCTGGGGATGTTTGCCCATTGTAGCAGTTTTGCTCGACAGGTTTCTAAGGCAAAGTTGCTACAGTTCAGCTCTCTCCTGGAGAGTGGAGAGCTGAGAGCTTAGTGTAGGTTTCCCCAGCAAAAGTGTTATAGCCCTACTCGCTCTGCTCTGTGTCCACCACCACCACCGCAAAAAAGAAGATCTTTACCTGAAGTTCATTGAAGGGGGATTTGTTGGGAGGGAAGGATCCAGGAGAGTGGCTGCCCTCTGCAGGACTGCCTGGTATCACGAACAGCCACAAGCTGAACAGACATAGGGTTTATATAGGGCTTCCAGGGTGGGGATTGGTCAGATTTTAGTGCTGAGCTCAGATTGGCTAGAGCTCTGCTCGAGGATTGGTTAGTTTTCTGCACAGGATTAGGGTCAGATTTGGCTCTGGTTTCAGGGCCAAAGTGTGTTTCTTTCTCTGGTCCTTTTTAGCCATTTGGTTCCAATTTTAGGGCCAGAGTGTATTTCTTTCACTGACTCTGATTCCAGGGACAAAGTGTGGTTCCTTTGGCACTGGTTTCAGGGTCAGGGTACATTTCTTTGGTTCTAGTTGCAGGGCCAAAGTGTGTTTCCTTGGCTCTGCTCAGGGTGTTTTTCATTGACTGGTCCCTTTTCTCTACAGAGGGAGGGTTAAAACCTAAGCTGACCAAGGTCATCAATACTACCAGAGTAAGGAATATATAGCTACTTTTCTGTCTTCTTTGAAGATGATGGTATTTATTTATTCATCTATTTTTGTTAGAAATTTGGAGGACATAGTTGGATATGAAGTTTTAAATATTTATATGACACAAAATACATCTTTTAAAAATAGCAAATGGCTTGGCATGACGGCATCCACTTGTAATCCAGTCTGTCAGGAGGCAGGGACAGGAGGATCACCAGAAGTCCAAGGCCTGTCTGGCCTACATAGTAAGCAGGGGACCAGCCCAGTCTGTGAGTTCTGCATAAGGCAACTCTGTCTCCATATAATGTAAAAATGAATGGAATGGTCAAAATGGTCATTTGAGAAAAGAGATGACTGATCTAATCCATCTTCCCAAACACATTCAATATGCTATAAATGCTAAAACCAGACCTGGAAATGATTCTATCCTATTGCTAAATAAATTTTAAAATTCTAGTTTAATGGCTAAAGGATATGAGTGAGGAAAAGACTATAGGAGCAAAAGCTTTAGAGATGAGTCATGTAAACAAGGAACAGCCTTGGAAGAACCAAACTATATAGAGTGAAGCTGGTGGTCCTTTGGATCTTAACTCCATAGCCTTGGGGAATGCTTGAGCAGTGACTCAAGGACTTGCTCTTCAGTTTTTGTTAGTCATTTGCAGTGCCCAGGGAACACAGACTTTCATTTGAGTGACAGGAAAAACTAGTTGTTAGTTGTATCTTTAGTTTTTGCTCCAGAATATTTCTTGACTCAGTACACACCAAAAGGCAGAGAGGCAGAAATTTTTCTTGGAGACTCAAAAGAAGCATAGAGAGAATAAGGTTAGACCTAAGTAAATATTTGGATTTCTTTTTCCTTTATTTTTGAAATTTTGTTTGTTTAGAGACAGTATAGCTCATTTAAACTTAAACTCAACTTTGAAGTGCTAGGATTGTCAGTAAACCTCCGTGTCTGACTAATAATAGGTTTTTCATTAATGACCATATGATCGATCAATCAAGTTACTGAATTTGTTGACTTGTTTTGATTTCCTTTGGCTAGATGTACTATTCTCGTTCTCTCTCTCTCTCTCTCTCTCTCTCTCTCTCTCTCTCTCTCTCTCTCTCTCTCTCTCTCTCTCCCCCTCTCCTTTCCACTCCCTCCCTGCCTTCCCTCTCCTTCCCTCCCTCCCTCCCCCTCCTCTCAAAATAGGATTTATAATAATTGGTTACTTGTCATTTTGTGGTCTTGATATTGCAGGTATTCATCGTCGGATATACCCACTTATGTAAATTATGTTTGTTTTCTTGCTTTTGTAAGCTTTTGCCTGAACAATGATACGTTGTTTTAAAGTGAACTATTTTTCCTTTTCTAGGCCTTAAGGAGAGTGCAGAAGAGATGGTCAAAAATAAGTTGGAAGGAAAGGATAAGCTGACCCCTTGGGAACAATTTTTAGAGAAGAAGAAAGAAAAGAAAAGACTAAAAAAGAAACAGAAGGTATCCATTCTAATTGAAATGTCAGTTGTGTGTGTCACACCCTACTCATTATTTTGAAATGTTTGTCTCTGTGGCAAAATCTCACTGTATGACTCACACTCCTCCCCAGTGCTTGGACTGAAGGTGTGAACCACTACATCCATCTATAAGGAAATGATTTTGGACCTTAATTGTAATACAGTGGCAAAATAGAGTAAAAGCCCTACCACCTTGATGTGGTACCTTTTTTTTACTACAGCTTTCTTCAAAACTTAAATAGGCAGTTAAATCCTGTTAATAGAGTAAATCCACAAGTAATAAATCTAGCAATTTCTGGGAAGATTTTCTAAGTGAGTCTTTATAGGGTCAATAAAGTATTCACTCTGAGACTTTCCCTTACACTTTTACTTTTTTGCTTTGTTTGTTGCTTCTTGACAGGGTTTTCTGAATAGTCCTGGCTGTTCTGGAACTCACTCTGTAGACCAGGCTGTCCTCACATTCATGAGATCCACCTGCCTCTCCCTCCCAAGTGCTGGGATTAAAGGCATGCACCACCACTGCCCCCATTAATTTCCTTCTCTTGCCTTATTGCGTCAACTAATGTATCAAGTGTAGATGATGAACAGCCCTGTCCTGTTCCTTATTTCAATGGAATTGCTTCAAGTTTTTCACCATTTAGGATGGCTGTGGGTTTGTCACATATAGCTTTTATTATATTCAGATATATTCCCTCTAGTACTGCTCTCTCTTGGATTTTTATCATGATGGCATGTTGGATTTTTGTCAAAGGCTTTTTCTGCATTTACTAATCATGATTTTTCTTTTAACATTATTTATTACATTTATTGGCTTACATATATTGCACAATCCTTGCATCTAGGATAAACTAACTTGATCATGGTGGATAGTCTTTTTGATATATGTCTGTCTTTAGCTAGCTTGTAAGTATTTTATTAAGGATTTTTTAAATCTGTGTTCAACAGGCATATTGGCCTGTAGATTTCTTTTCTTGTTGTGTCTTTACTTGGCTTTGGGACTACAGTGATACTGGCATGCATCGTAGTAGGAGTTTGGGAGTATTCCTGTTTCTATTCTTTAAAGTTTTTAGAAAATTGGCTCATATTTGAAAGTGGTAAAATTCTTCTGTGAATTCATTTGAACCTGGACTTTTTTTAAAACAGAAGCCTTATTATTACTTTTTTTTTGGTCTCATTTGTTAGGAGTCTGTTTAGATTGTTACAACTTAGAAAGCTAGTATGAATCTAGAAATCCATTCATTTCTTTTAGATTTTTCAACTTAATGCCAAGTGGGTGTTTTAATCACTCCCTTATCTGAATTTCTTTTATGTCTGTTGTAATGTTTACCTGTTTATTTCTGATTTTGTTAGTTTGGGTTAGTTAGGCCAAGGGTCTGTCAACTAGTTTATCTCTTCATAGAACCAGCCTTAGATTTCTTGACTCTTTGTATTGTTTTCTTTGTTTCAATTTCACTGGTTTCTGCTCTGGTGTTTATTATGTCTTGCCATCTACTAGATTTGTTATCATTCTTCCCCAAAATTTTAGTTGCATCATTAAATCATTTATTTGTGCTCTTTATAATTTTGTTATGTAGGCACTTAGGGCTATAAATCTCTCTTGTAGGACTGCTTTTAATGTCTCCAGAGATTTTGTTGCATTGCAGTTTTATTTTCTTTTTAGTTCCAGGAATATTTTTCTTTCTTGGTTTCTTCTTTGACCCATTAATCATTCCTGTAATGAGTTATTTACTCATTACAGTAAAAGTTTATGTACTTACTGAAGATTTATTTGGTATTGATATTAGTTTTTATTTAACTATGGTCAGGTAAGATACATGGAGTTACTTGATTTTTCTAAATTTGTCAAGAATTGTTTTCTGTTCCATGATATAGTCTATTATGGAAGAGCTACCATGGGCTGCTGAGTAGAATACCTATTCTTTGGTGTTTGGGTGGAATAAGTCCTTTGAATGTATAATTTCATTTGCTTCTAATGTTTCTCCATTTATCTTTTATCCAGATTAGCTGTCTATTGGAGGAAGTAACGTACTATTAGTGGGTTGATATTAATCTGTGTTTTTAATTCTAGTAGTACACATGAAATTGTGTGTACCAATTTTAGTACATATATGTTAAGATCCTCGATTAAAATGAAGTGCCTATGGTAGTTTGAATGTAATTGACCCCCATAAACTCATTGGGAGTGGCACTATTAGGAGGTGTGGCTTTTTGGAGTAGTTATAGCCTTGTTAGAGGAAGCTTGTCACTATAGGGGTGGGCTTTGATGTCTCCTATGCTCCCTGTGTCTCAGACCACTTCCTGTTGCCTATGTGTCAAGAATTCTCAGCTCCTTCTCTAGCACCATGTCTGCCTGCATGTTGCAGTATGATGTTAAGGAGCTAAACCTCTGAAGATATGTCATCCCAATTAAATGCTTTTCCTTTATAAGAGTTGCCATGGTCTCCACAACAATAGAAACCCTATGACAGAGCCCTTTATCGCTTGATTAGTTTTTGTTTGAGGTTATTTGTCAGATGTCAGGACAGTAACACCTACTTGCTTCCCATTCCTTTTGCTTGGAATACTTTTTTCCATCCTTTCACTTTAAGATGATGCCTATTTTTAAAACTGAGCTTCTTATAGGCAACATAAAGATGGACTTTGTATCTTAATTCATTCAGCCACCTTGCGTCTTTTGATTGGAGAAGTGAGGCTATTGACATTTAAAATTTTTGGAAGGTGTGTATTGATTACAGTCATTTTGGGAGGATTTTGTTGTTGGTTGGTTGGTTGGTTGTTGATTTAGTTTGGTTTAATATTTATGCTCTTAGCCGGGCGTTGGTGGCGCACGCCTTTAATCCCAGCACTCGGGAGGCAGAGGCAGGCGGATCACTGTGAGTTCGAGACCAGCCTGGTCTACGGAGCAAGTTCCAGGACAGCCTCCAAAGCCACAGAGAAACCCTGTCTGGAAAAACCAAAAAAAAAAAAAAAAAAAAAAAAAATTTATGCTCTTAAGTTGTATTTAGTGTTTCATTAATTACAGCTTCGTTTGTCTATTTTTAGGGTGTGTTGGAAATGCTTATTCTTCACTAAGAAGTACTGTTTCTGCTAGTCTCTTTAGTCTTGTTATTTCTGGACATGTACTCTTTTAGCCTATTTGTCATGGAAAGTTTTTCTTTCTCCTTCAGCTATGGAAGATGGCTTTTCTGGGTACAGTAGTCTACTTAGGTGGTTTTGTAGAACTTGGAATGCATTGCTCTTCTGTCTTTCAAAGTTTCCATTGTGAAATCAGCTGCTATTCTGATGGGTTTTCCTTTTATGTGACTTAGGATTTTCCTCTAGGAGCATTCAATATTCTTTGCTCTATTTAAGTGTTTTAACTATGATATATTGTAGGGAGTTTCATGTATGATCTTGTCTATTTGCTATTAACAGCTGGGCTTCTTAGATAATCTGACTATGTCTTTCCTTAGTTTGAAAGTTTTCTTCTATTATTCTTCTGAACATCTGGTCTTTGCCATTGACCTGGGATCATCTATGCCTATAATTCAAACATTGGGTCTTTTCATGGATTCCCAGTTTTTTTCCTATGTTTTGTTTTATGTTTCTGCTTTTTTCATATTCTTTGCTTCTCTTATTCCTCTAGTTTGTCTTTAGGTTCTGATAGTATATTTTATATTTGATCAGGCTTTCCTCTGATTTTTTTTTTTTTCCGAGACATGGTTTCTCTGTATTGTTTTGGAAGCTGTCCTGGAACTTGCTCTGTAGACCAAAATGGCCTCGAACTCACAGAGATCCACCTGCCTCTGCCTCCCGAGTGCTGGGATTAAAGGAGTGTGCCACCAACGCCCAGCTCCTCTGATTTTTCTAATTGTGCTAAGTTTTTCAATTCCATCTTCATTTCAACTTGAGGTCTTTTCATTATTTCTATGCATATTGAATTCCTTTTTCAAATCTTACATTGTCGTTATCATATCATTTCAGCCTTATATTTGTATTTTCTTGGGCACCATTCATGTGTTTTATATTCTTTGAGTTCATTGAGCTATTCAGTTGTATCCTTAAACTCTGAGCTCTTTGATTAGTTTTATGATCATTCTATTCTGTGTCCTGGAATTCATCTTGGTATTAATCACTGGAGAACATTTCTGTTGGACACTGGTGGATTTGGGAGGACATACTGTCTTAACCTGTCATAGTTTTTGTGAAATGAAACCTGAAAATGTGGTCTTCTTGTGTTGGTTGTATATCTGATGTGAACACAGCAGGCTGATGTGATGCCTGGAGGTTTGGACAGTGGGGATGTGATTGTGGGTGAGCCTGGGAGTTAGGGAGGGTGCAGTACAGTGGAATCTGGTGGGTTCACCAGGCCGAGCTGCAGCACTGGGCACTGAGGCTATATATTCCGAGGTGTGTACACATATGTGGATAGGTGCATGTGTGGATTGCTCTCCACCTTTGGAGATTTTTGTTTCTTTGTTTGTCTGGGTTTGTTCGAGATCTGACCTCACTGAACATGGAGCTTACCTATTAGCTAGACTGCCTCTAGAGATCTGTTTCAACACTCCAGACCTCATCCCTCCTACCCAGCACTGGGATTACAGATGTACTTTTGTATTTTTATTTTTATTGTTGACATGGGAACTGGGAGTATGAACTCAGATCCTCATGCTGTGCACAGCAAGCATTTTGTCAATTGAGCCATCGCATCAGTTCTTTATTGACAATTAGGAAATTGTCAGATGAAAAGGATAGACTTAGAATTATTTTATAAATTAACCTATTTTAGACTTAATTTTATATTGAATTTCTTGACAAATGCTTATCATTTTCTTCAGATTCACTTATTACAGTCCTTGTAATGTTGTAACTCTCTTTACATTCATCTTTAAGGCTCTTGCTGAAGAAGTCAGTGAAGATGAGCTTCCTTCAGATGTTGATTTGAATGATCCCTACTTTGCTGAAGAAGTTAAAAAGTTAGGTAAGCCAGCCTGTATTTGTGACTTTTTTCATTTGGAATCCAAAGAAAAGGATGATATGGGTTGAATAAACTGTAAATTGAAACTAACCATTCTCTCAGCGTTGCTAGGATTTGGATAACAAAACTGTCCTGTAGAGTTCAATCACAAACCATGTTGAGAAGAGCCAGCACGCCTGCTGTATGTAGAAGATATAAAATAATTCCATCATTAAGGGCTTTTTCCTTATTTTTATGTTATGTGTATGACTGTTTTACCTGTGAGTATGTGTACCACATGCATTCAGAATCTGAAGAGGCCAGAAGAGGATGCCAGAACACTTGGAACTAGCATATATGGAAGCATACTTACAGCCTTAGGGAAGTCAATTCCTGAAAGGAAGTCAAAAAGGGGTTGTGTCTTTTAGTATTTCCTCCAGGTATAAGATTTGACAGTAGGCTCTTTTTTTCCCTTCAGTACTGTCTAGACAATAGTTATTCTTAAGGGGAACTGGTGTTAGCTCAAAATTCTTGGGGTTTTTGTTGTTTGTTGTTTTTTCTTTGATTAAGCTATAAAATCACTCAGGTGGTCTAAATTAATATATGAATGTATCACCACAACTTTGTCTTCTTTGTTAATTTGTCAAGATACATCCCGGGCATTAGTACTTTAGAAGTAAAATGTAGTCATTACACATACCTGGTTTCCAAAAATATTCAAAACATGATTAGAAGTATGATATGCTATGTTTTGTTGATAATCATTTCCTAAACAGAAATGGAGGGGGAATGGATTGTGGGTTAGAACAGAGGGGTTATAGGAAGAGGGACTAGGAAGAGAGGAGAAAGTGCAGCCAGGATGTAAAGTAATTTTTTTTAATAAAAAGTATGTAGTTCAAGTCCTGTACATAAACAGGACAGTGGTATAAGAAGGTGAACTTGAGTATATTTATAACATGCTGTCCTTGGGCATCCTGTAGAGCTAAACTTCCACACCTTATAAAATTGCATAAACTTAGAATTGATTTTGATTGATGCCAGATGTGGTATTTGGGTTGGGTTAGTAGCCAGTGTGAGCACCAGAGATTTGTTACAGTTTTTCCCCTTAAACTGCAAACTTGTTACCAAGAGAGTTATGAGAGTTTTGAAAATATACTTCTAAGAAGAAAGCTAATTTTTTTCTTTTGGAAATAAAATATTGGAAATTTTTTATTGGTAATTTGTAACTTTCCTTTTTTGGTGCTAAGGATAGATAGAAGGCCTCCTCTATATAAGCTCCTCTGAGCTACACCCCAGCCCTAATTGCATAAACTCTGTAATAATTTTGCTTTTGAAAAAGTAGGATTAAAGTGTACAATACATCCCTATTTTTTTTTCTTAATGTATCCCTTGTTGCCATCTTAAGTGTTCTATAAAACACCTTGAAATTCAACTGTATTTTGCCTATTTGACTCATTCAGCCAGTGTGTTGTGTGTTTTCAGCATACTGGCTGTATGCTGCATTACAGTTTATAAGTGATTTTTGCACCCTGTCCTCAAATCCATTTTCAGCTCACTTTATAGTTGAATGTATTGAAGGTAATAGATTGCCCAGGAGCAGTTGGTAACTGGTGGAATCTGAATGTTACTGTGCTTCTGCAAGGATAGAGACAGCCAGGACCCATGTGAATATGGGTTCGGTATGAAAATATGGAGTTCGGTATGAAAAAAACACTTTTTTGTTGTTTTCTTTCCTAAGCAAAACCACAGTGCATCACCCTAAAGAAAGACTAGGTGGTCTTAGATGCAAAAATTTGCCTCAAAAAAAGGGAGTCAGTGAAGAGCCTTACCATTCCCTATCTGCTCAGTACTGAGACCTTCCTACATTTAGGGAGGGCCATTACTGTCTGTCCCATTTTAAGAACTCAACTAAACTAGAAGCTTTTCTCAGACACTAGAAGTAATACAGAATTTCCTTATAGATAGTTCATTACAGAGTTTGTTTTGTAGTACATCATTTTCCATGGAGACATCATTAAACTTTTTGCTTAATATAACCAAATACAGGTTTATATCTTGTTGAGTGAAAAAGCACAAGTAGCTAGAATACCCAAGAAATAAAAGAATTGAAAGAGATTTATTACCTGCAGCAGATTAGTACCACCCAGAGGTTTTCTAAAGCAGTGCTCTCTTCAGCATAAGGATATTGCTCAGGGAGCCTACACATTCATAGAGATAGGCACATTCCCAAGCATGCTCAGTTAAGGAATGCACTACTGAGCATGCCCAGCTTGAAGTCAGTTCAAGGACAAATAACAGGCAACTTTTGAGGCATGCTTAGTTCACGCCTATAGAACTTGTTTAAAGGTTAAAGTAGGAGCTGGCAGAATGAATGACTCTGAAGGTAGAAGTGTTAGTCACACATACCTGATGGACCTGTGTTTCATCCCCATCAACCCACAGTTGGTGAAGAGAACCAGCACAGAATGAAGTTCTAAAAACACTGAAAACCTGTTCTCAGTATAATGCCATACCTAGCAAACCTCCTCAGACATCACTACCACCTGGGGACCAAGTGTTCAAATGCCTAAGACTGTGGGGGACATTTCTCATTCAAACCATTCCATTGGGTTATTTTTGTTTCATTGTTTGGAGATGGGGTCTCATATAGCTCAAGTTGACTTCTTCCTGTTAGCTAAGGGTATGGCTGTAATTTTAGCACTCAGGATATAGCTAAGAGTGTGAGGGTGTGAAGGTGCTTCCCACCACGCTGAAGACCTGAGTTTAACCCCTGGGACTCAACTAGTAAGAAGGAAAAACCAACTCCCACAAGTTGTCCTTTGGCCTTCACACTTGGTGTGGTACATGCATAGCCACGCACAGACACACCAAAATAAATTAATTTTAAAAACAGACAAACACCTGTTTTACAGATAAGAGCATAATCTGATTTCCTTTTTCTAGGATAAAGCAAATTGTCATCCTTTTAAATAACCTGTGTTGGAAGGTGTTTTCTTCACTGCAAAAGGACGCTTTAAGCCATTTTGTTCAGTACATGGTCTAGTGATTCTCTTCACTAATTGCTGGTGTTGTTTTGGTTTGAGATGGCCTCATTACATATCAAGCTTAGAATTCACAACCCTTCTTCCTCTGCTGAGTGCTAAAATTATAAAAACATGCCAGCACACCAACAAAAATATCTTCCTTTTAATACTTAGTCCTAAGCCTTCCAGAAGGCTTGTGTGTTCTTGGCCTTCTTTCAGTGTTGTGCTTTTCCTTCCTGGAGTTTGACATTTATTGTTAAGATATTCCTAGATATTTTACATTTTGTTCATAGTATAAAGAGATTTTTGCTGTTAATCCTGTCATTGTAACCCTCCTCTGTTGGTTTGTTGTGCCAGGTATAAAGAAAAAATCCACGAAATCTACAAAAGATAGCACATCTTCCGAGGAAGAAGCTGAACTAGAAAAGCAAAAGGTAGAAAGGGTCATTGTTGAGTGTTTATCGATGATTGGTGTGTGCGATTGAGATGATGTGGTTCTAATTTTAAAACTGATTTTCAGTGGATTTTGTAAATACATTATAAAATATATAAAAATTTTAGCCACATAGTGTTTAGATGTCACCTTTAACCAAACATTATTTCTCCAATTAATATGAAATCAAAGTTTCTCTAGTCCTTTATGACTGCGAGGAGATATTCTATTTCACACCCTCTGCTATGACCAAAACAGAAAATACTGTTGTTGAAACATAAAATGGTATTTGCATATCCTTTGGTTCTATTTGCCCTGTATTACAGTTTCTGTTATAGCTTGCCAAATGCTAATTTCTTTTTTACTATTAGTAAATATAAGAGCTGGGCAGTGGTGGCATATACCTTTAATCCCAGCTCTCGAGAGGCAGAGGCAGAAAGATCTCTGTGAGTTCAAGGCCAGCCTGGTCTACAAAGCTACACAGAGAAACCCTGTCTCAAAAAAGAAAGTTAGTGCAGTTGGGACAGTATATGAGACTACTGGCAGTGGGTCCAAGATCTAACTCTAATGCACAAACTGACTTAGTGGAGCCCATTCTATATGGAAAGATACCTTGCCCAGCCTAGACACAGGGGTGTGGGGGGTAGAGAGTTGCCTTGGTCCTGTCTCAACGAGATGATGGGACAGACTTAGTAGACTTTCTATGGGAGACCTTACCTTCCCAGAGGAGCAGATGAGAGGTAGTGGGAGGTGGTAGCAGGAGGAGAGGGGAAAGGAGGACTGAGATTGGAATGTAAAAAATAAATTTAAAAAGAGAGGAAAAAAAGGAAATGCTCTGATGCTTATGCATAACCCAGTGGCTCTGGCAGTGGGCCTTGACTGGCCACCTAAACTGTTCAGCTTAATGCATTTTTCTATTCCCTATCCAGTAGAACTCATAGAGTTATTTTAAATGTCCATTCATGAAACATGGCTCTAGAAGGAAGTTGAATGTGAGTGCCAGTAATGGAAGGAAAGGAAATTCAAGTATGCTTGTGTGTAAGGGTCAGGGAGCATGCACCTGGGTGTTTTCTCCTAGTGTTTGTGGTTGATTCTTGAGGTGTCTCTCTAATCTGATGGTCAATAAAAGCAGAATGCTTGGTCTCAGAGGCAAATGCTGAGTCTAGTTCATGAAAGTATGTCTGTATTGAGAGAGGCAAGAGGAAGAAGAAAAAATAAAACAAGCAAAAGAATTTTCCTAGTTGCTAAAGTACACATCTGGAAACTGTAATTTGAATCACCAAGTAAATTTCCTGTCATTACTTAAAGAGAACAAGGTGAAGATGAAATGTATTTGACAGACCCGGGCCTCTCGTTCCTTCGCCTGCTAATCAGATTACTCTACAGGGCTGGAAATCTGTCCTTTGCAGAAGGGCTGTTACTTCCATCCTTCCCTGTAGCTAATCCATCCTCACATCACAGCCTGGAATGGACATACACTGTGTGTCTTGGGCCTCTTTCTACTCTCCACTCATTGAGTTTATAAGCAATTCTTAGAGTAGCAGCTCAGGAAGACTCCACTGTACATTGGAGGGTTTGTTTGTCTGTTTTTCTCTCCATAGGCTGAAATGGCCTTGCTTGTAATGGATGAGGAAGAGGATAGCAAGAAACACTTCAACTATGACAAGATTGTGGAGCACCAGAATCTGAGCAAAAAAAAGAAGAAACAGCTTATGAAAAAGAAGGAGTTACTTGAGGATGACTTTGAGGTAACCTGCAACACAAGTCTTTATTAGCTTCTTGAAGGTGGAGTTAAATCTAAAGTCAGCCTTGGGTATAGAAATTAGGCATGAAGTTACCCTTGAAAATCCCTTATCAGGGGTCCCTAATGATGGCAAAGCAATTGTCCTTTAACACAGTTCATTTTAGAGTGGATCACATCACTGGTTGAGCTCTAGGTGAGTTAGTTACCTTTAATTTGGTAGCCATGTCACAACAAAAACCTATAACCTTTAAATATTGAAACCAGAAGCAGTGATGTTCATGCTGTGAGAGGTTGGCTGAGGGTTCACATGACATTGGACTCACTCTCACTGTGGACAGTAGGCAACATGGTGGGCAGTGCTTTTTTAATTTCTGTGTACCTCACTGCTATCACTCTTCGGTTCTCTTCTTATGGTCAGTATATGGTCCTAATGGCTATGTACCTGAGTTTGAAACTTTAAAATATCCATTAGGAATTAGTTAACAGTTTCCATTGTGAACTTGGAAGGAAAGACAGGTGAGCTTTGAATTTGGTCAAAGTGGAGGAAAGGACATGGATTTCTTTGTAGCATGTAGAAGGATTGCAAGGCCACCATGACTCCACCTTTTCTTATATGCTTCTGTTTCCATGAAGTTTCTGATTAATTAGTTTTCTAATAAAAAACAAAAAGTAATTTCTTATTATGAGCTCTACCTTCACACATATATAACTATGCATAAAATATTTTTCTTGGAGTTGTGATATGACCCAGCAAGTAGCAGTGCTTGCCACTACGTCTAAGAACCTGAGTACATCTCTTCTACAGTGAAGAGAACTGACACCCTCCTGTTGTTCTCTAACCTCTACATACCACACAAATAACATTAAAATACATATATTATTTTCATGAGGGCTGTGCAGATGGTTCAGTGGGTAAAGACTTTGCTGTACAATCACGAAGCCTGGGTTGGATGCTAGTAGCCACATAAAAGCTAGCAGTGGTAGCATATGCCCATAACCCCAGGGCTGTAGAGGTTGGAGACTGGATCCCAGGGGCCTGCTGACAACCAGAAAGACACCTGTCATCAACCTCTGGTCCTACATGCAGGCACAGGCACCTGTACACACACACACACACACACACACACACACACACACACGCACGATTTTCACGCAGTTTCCTTTGTCATCCTTAGTATCGTTGTTGTTCTTTTGTTTAAGTTACAGGCACGATGGAACATGATCCAAGAGACTCACTAATCCATGTGGAGTTTATTGGAGGAAGGGAAATGAGGTGGGGGTGTAGGTGTTTACCAACTGGGAACAGAGGGGAGAGAGAGACAGAGACAGAGAGAGACAGAGACAGAGAGAGAACAGAGAACAAGTGGAGGTACTCCCTTAAAAGGGGAAGCTTGCACATGCATACTGAGTCCTTACGCAGCCCCATAATGCATGAAGCCATGATGTGGCCATACAACACTTTGAACTGCCTAAGCATCTGCCTGAATGCCCATATGCCTGTCCCACCCATTGTCAGGGGGCGGATTCAGCATAATGCCAGGTTCCAACAAGCCTGTCTGCTGATATCACTGAAACTAAGTACAGCTATGATCCATCTCCAATAGACTCAGGTCAGGTTTTTCTCATTATTCACTGCTAAGCCTGGATGGATTGAAGGGTACACTTTTAAAAGTAAAATCATAATGCTTTTTTGGAAACAGAGGATAAGTTTGGGGTTTGTATCTTACCAAATCTTGGACTGGAGGGTAGATTTCTTTGCTTCCCTCCTACTCTACCCCGACACGTGTTCCAGGGCTAGCACTTCACACATGTTTAGGCAAACACTCTACCATTGAGCAACATCTGTAGCTACCATCTTGTGTTGTATTTTGAAACGGTTTGCCCAAGCTGCCCAAGGTGGCCTTGAATTTAAAATCCTCCTGAGTAGCTGGGATTACTGCCCCATGCTACCTGGCCTAGCTAGTAGCTACTTTCTCTTGACACAAAGTTTAAAATTTATTAAAATTACACAGGATGCAGTGACTGCTTAAACTCCATGCAGTTAGGCTTAATTGACTTAATTGACTTATGATGGACAGAAGTTTGTCTTAGGCTAAGCAAGGAGCAGAAGCCCTGCCTTGGGAACCACTTCTCTGTTCAGTCAAAGTAATTGTTCCAGTCACTATACACATGGACCACTATTCTTCCCTTTCAAATAGATTGATTTGGGGAGAAGAGAACAGCACTCCTGCACATTGTTATTGAAGGGCAGACCTTAAAATCGCATCGAGTCTGCCCTGGACAAGTGGCATGTGCCTGTAATCCCAGCTCTCAGGAGGCCAAGGCCAGGAAGAGCAGCAAGGAAGTTCCCGTCCAGCCTAGATGTAAAAGACAAACCTTGTCTCGGATAACAGACAAAGTAAAAAGCCTTTCCTGAGATTGCAGAGAGTGGTTCCAGTGTCTCACTGCACAGGACGCATACTTGTGTACTAATGACCAGCTGCTCTGTGCCTCTGTTTACTTATTTGTTCACTTTAAATTTGCAGGTTAATGTTAGCGACGCACGGTTTCAGGCAATGTACACTTCCCACTTATTCAATTTGGATCCTTCTGATCCTAATTTCAAGAAAACAAAGGCTATGGAAAAAATTCTTGAGGAGAAAGCCCGGCAGCGAGAACGAAAAGAAGAACTACTTGTTCAAGCAGTAGAGAAAGCTGAGCAGAACACGGGAAAGGCGGCACAGAAGCGGCCCATAGATCCTGCCTTGTCTTTGCTGATTAAATCTGTGAAAAACAAAACAGAGCAATTCCAAGCCAGGAAAAAACAGAGAGTCAAATAGCTGGGCACTGTCTCTGTGGTCTCACATTCACAGAAATAGTATAAGCGATAATGGGAATGAAGCCACCTTTCTAGAATATGAAAAATAACTGTTTTCTGACCATTGTAAAGTTGTTCTTCATTGGGGCTAGAGAGATGGCTCAACAGTAAAGAACAATGGTGCATTTGCAAAGTATCTGAGTTTGGTTCCCAGCACTCGCAAGATAGGTGCTGGGCACCAAACTCAAATACTTTACCTGATTCCAGTTCTAAGAGATCCAGTGCCCTCTCCTGACCTCTGTGGGCATTGCATGCCCATAGTCCCCATACAAACATGCAGGCAAAATGGTTACATAACAATTTTTTTTTAGTGTTCCCCTTACATAATTCTACTGAATTGTATATAACTCACATTTTATAGTGTACATTTTCACAGATTTGTCATAATTATGTGAACTGTAAAATTTTATAAGATTTTTATATTGTATGAAGTTCATTTCCTACAATTACAGTGTTACTCTAATTTAGCTTCCTAGGAGACTTATTTACAATATATATAAAAATAGTGTCCATTTTTCTGTACAAATATTAAAAACAAATTTTAAAAATATATGCAGTACCTTATTCTGTGAAGGCAGGTGGCAGATCTAAGTAGCTGTTAAGATAACTTATTTTCCTATCATAAGGATAGAAGCTCTGACCTATTTTTTCCATGCTTGGTAATTTGCATGTAGAACTAATTTATGAATAAAAGTACAAGATGTTTTTATTTTTATTAGTTTGTGTACTATTGATTTTTTTCATTATATGCACTTCAAGCAGCCTATTCTAAAAAAAAAATCTGAAAGTATGACTTTAATTGTTAAGAAAACAGTTCCTTGAAAAGGCAGTTTTATTTTTACATTGCCCATAACTACATTTGAAATGTTCATGATCTCTGCAGTCAGTTTTCTGTTTGTAGGAACAACAACAACCACAAAACCCTCCTGTCCTTTAGGTTTTTAGAATGTTTTAGAAGACTGGGTATGCTGATATAAAGGAAACCCCAATACTTTGTAAAAATTAAAGGACATCTTCAAGACTAATCCTTGGATCCATCTGGTATAGATTTTAAGAACTGTTAACTGACTGCTCACAGGAAAACTAGATTTGCTATATATAAGTAAAAGGAAACAAAGCCAAAATGGATGCAGCAATTAAAGATGCAGCCCCTTCTGAAGGACAGTACAAATTCTCTAGGTTTATGTTTAATATGGAGGCTGTCATCTTTAGCATACAAACCTGAGTTTACCAAGAAAGCATGGTTTTTTAAAGATGCAAATGTTAGAGCAGTATCAAAACCCTGGCAATGTAAATAGTTTCTGAAAGAGGGAGGAAGAAAGTAGCACGTGTTAAATAAGTTGCTCGTTATAATGAAGAACAATAAAGCCTCTACACAGGACAATGCTGAGATATGTCTGTGAACTTCCCAACACTGGCCAGTCAGTAAGAATGATGTCATAGGATTATTATATCTACCGATGCTTCTTACTTCATTTCAAGAAAATTTTTGTTACCTCTAATTCAAGTCAGGTAGGGATTCACATTTAATTGGTTTGATTTTTTTTCCCCCAGTACTAGGAATAAAACCCAGCCTATATGTACTAGGCTGGTGTTCTCCTACCAAGCCACATTCCAGATCTTGGTTTGAAACAAAGTGCTATGTAGTTCAGACTGGCTTCAAACTCACATCTTCTGGCTCTGAGTTATGAGATTACAGGCCAGAACTACTCTTTGATTTCAGGATTCCTGAGAAACGCAGCACTTTAGTGGATTTGATACTGGAAAGGTAAAAGTTCGGTGTAGATTTGTAGATGAGAAAGCAGAGCGCTTGTCTAATGAGATTGAACTCCAGGAAATGTACTAGTTGAGGTCTTTTTAGACAACTGATGGCAGACACTGGAGGGAAGCATGGGGAGGTAGTCTATCCATCCAGTTGGCATACACACAAGGTTCCAGTATCCTCTGAGTTGTTACATCCTCAGCATCTCGGCAGAGTTAGGGGATGACAAGGAACCAAGGACCAGATCTCCCTTTGAGCATCCTGGCCTTTTACAAAGACTCTTAGCTGCTACTTAGGGTCCCTACTTGACCTGACTAGCTTCTACCTCAAGTTCTCATCAGTTTTGCTTTGTTGTTTGTTTGTCTTTTAACTTAGAACCTTTGTTTCTAAGGTACTGCTTAAATTGCAAAGTCTCCTTTTACAAGTGAAGCAAATAGTTGGGCACGCTGTAAATTGTATTTTTTCAAATCAGGGTTTCTCTGTGTAACCTAGGCTATTCTGCAGATACCCCAAATAAACCTTTCTATCCACGTTGCATTCAAGTTCTATGGTTTCACTGTACCCTTGCATACAGTTATTATATCTTCTTATAAAATTATTACATTTTCATATCTTATTAGTCTACTTGTTAGATGAATTTCTGTGGAAGGTGGGAAAGTTTGGTTGATACTAATCTCCCTTTATTTTTTTTAACCTCTTCTAAAATATAGAAAGAATATTTCTCAACCTGTATTTTTTAAGACCAGTATTTTCTTGATACCTGTGATGGTTTGAATGTAATTGGTCCCCATAATCTCATAGGGAGTGGCACTGTTAGGAGGTGTGGTTTTGTTGGAATGGGTATTAGCCTTGCTGGAGGAAGTGTGTCACTGTGAGGGCAAGCTTTCAGTTCTCGTTTGCTCAAGCATCCTTCAGTGTGACTATTAGTTGATTTCCTGTTGCCTGTAAGATGTAGCACTCTCAGCTCCAGCACCATGTTTGCCTGTGTGACCACATGTTCCACAATGATGATAATGAACTGAACCTCTGAACTGTAAGCCACTCCAATTAAGTGTTTTCCTTATAATAGTTGCCATGGTCATGGTGCCCCCTCACAGCAATAAAAACCCTAAGATGGAACTTGGTACCAGGGTATTGCTGTAATAGGCCTGAGCTTGTTATTGTTTGGAGTAATAATGGACTTTGGTACTTTGGGTTTTGTAACGTGTAGTCTTTCCACCAGCCGCCTGGGCCCCTGCCGAGCTGTCAGAACCCCCAAATAACACAAGAAATGCTATATTAATTATGAAGCTGTTGGCCATTTGCTTGGTTTCTTACTGACTAGCTCTGACTTAATTATTAACCCATAACTGCTAATAGTATTTCCATGTGGTCTTCTCTTACCAGAGGAAGGGTCCACATGTTGCTTCTCCTGAGTCCTACATCATGACTAACTGTGTCTCGCTTTCCCAGAATCCTTCTCAACTCCTAGTCCCACTTATCTTGCTTCCCTATTGGCCAGCAATCCTTTATTCATTAACCAAAGAGAGACATATCTACAGAATGACATCTCCCATCAGGATTTGGAAAGCAATAGACTGTGTTAAATACTGCTTACTGTTAAATACTTACTACTGCTGGTAGGAGCATGGAAGACAGTGGTGCTGAGTGATTTGATGAACTGTCCAGTGCAGGATCAAAAGGTTTCAGAGGATAACTTTAGTATGTTGCCTAGAAATTGTTCTTGTGATATTTTGGTGTCAGGAAGTGGCTGCCTTTTACCTTTGTCCAAAAAATCTGCCCGAGGCTAAAGTGAAGTTTTGGATTAATTCCACTGGCAAAGGAAATCTCAAAACAGCCTAATATAGACTCTGTTGTGTGGATGTTAATGTGGAAGCTTTATAATGAAAAGGAACAAGCTGAGCAGAATAAATTACAAAAAGTAAATTTTGAGGAGAAAAAGAGCAACAAGAAGTGGGCTAGAGCTACATCCTGTGTTCAAGGAGATAAGCTAATTAAAAGTGGAATAAAAGTAGTGCTGACCTCAGGGCAAGATCCCACCCAGCTAAATTCCAACTTGTGGAAAGAAACTAAAAAGTGTAGAGCCAGATGTGGTGGGACACACCTTTAATCCCAGCACTAGGAGGGCAGAGGATGGCCTGTCAGAGTTTGAAGCCAGCCTTGTCTACAGAGCAAGTTTCAGGGCAGCCAAGTTTAGGCAGTTAAAAGCAGAAAGCTGGTGAAGATACAATTGAATGAGGGGGTCATATTCCAGTCCCAGCAAACAGCAGAACTTGCAGCTTCAGTCACATGATTCTGGATTTAAAGTTAAGGATAGAAGAAAAGAGTTACAGAATAAAGTCATTGAGGCCAGGCATATGTCAGAGGTGTCATTGAACGGAGGCCTAGTAGAAAGGCCATGTGGGAAGTTCAAGTTTGGATTGCCTTGGAGACCCAAGATATTAACAGATGCCAGAGCCATGGGGTACCTGCCAAGGAGAGCTGCTAATAGGAGTGGAAGCAGCCCAAGAGAAAGAGGTGTGTTGCAGTCAACAAAGCCGAATGGAGTTGGAGATGTGGAGAGTGTTTCAACATCAGACATGAAGATGAAAAACAAAAAGAAGGTGAAGAGGTTGGAGTTTGCCCAGTTGACTTTTCGATCTTGCTTTTGTTCAGTATTTCTTCACTGTGCTCTTTCCCTATATTTTGGAATGGCAATGTATATCCTGTAGCATCACATATATTGTAAATATCTGATCTTTTTATTTTAATTTTATAGGGGACTACAGTTAAGAGATTGCATCAATATCCTAAAGGACTTTGAACTTTGGATTTTTTAAACATTGTTGAGACTGTTATAGACTATAGGAACTTTTGAAGTTGGACTAAATGAATTTTGCATTATAATATTGTCATAAACTCATGAGGGCCAGGGAGTGGAATGTGGTAGTTTGAACATTATTGGCCCCCATAATCTCATAGGGAGTGGCACTAGTAGAAGGTGTGGCTTTGTTGGAGTGGATATGGCCTTGTTGGGAAGAGGAGTGTTTTGGACAGAAGTTTTGTCCTACCTTGCCTTGCAGTCATTCAGTTCCAAATAGACACACAGACTCTTATATTAATTATAAACTGTTTGGTGTATGACTCAGGCTTCTTATTGGCTAGCTCTCTCTTAAATATTAACCCACTTCTATTAATCTGTGTATCACTACATGATCTTGGCTTACTGGTGATGCCCAATCCTGTTGCTTTCTCGGCAGCTACGTGTTGTCTCTCTCAAGGATCATTCTCTGCATTCCTCTTCCCAGAATTCTCCTAGTCTGGAAGCACTGCGTATACTTCCTGCCTGGCTCCATCCTACCTGTCTATTGGCCGAAACAGCTTTATTCATCAACCCATAAGAGAAACATATTCACAGCATACAAAAGGGGATCCCCAATAAGTGTGTTACGTGGGGGAAACCTATGTTCAGGATACTGGTAATTCAGTATCTCAGTTGACTTCCTGTTGCTCACAAGATGTAAGATTCTCAACTATTTCTTTTGTACCACGACTGCCCACATGCTGCCATGCTCCCTATCATGATAATAATAGACTAAACCTCTGAAACTGTAAGAGAGCCCCCTCAATTAATTGTTTTCTTTATAATAGCTATCATGGTCATGGTGTCTTTTCACAGCAATAGAAACCTTAACTAAGACAATACCAAAAACAGACAGAATAAATCAAATCACATGATAGCCTTGTTAGTATATAGCAATGTACCTAGATTCTGAAGAAAGAAGAGCTGTCTTTGAAACCTAGGCTTAAAATTCGTGAGCAAAGCCTTAGCAAGTGAAATCTAAAAACGCATGAAAAGAATACCAGGTCCCTGCTGGAGTAGAAAAGACTCCTGGTCAAGGGAGTGGGGTCTTTGGCCTAGGTGGAGACCTAACAACCCAGTTGTGCTGCTTCAATTACAGTGGCTAAAGGATAACTCCTAGGAAGGTGGACTACCTTAAGCCATACTAAGAGATGAGCATTAGTTCTTAAGTGAAACAGTGTACTTTTTCTTCCCAGAATACTAGTTCAGTAGTTTATAGGCTGCAGTCTGGGTTGTAAGTAAGCCTCTTTTCTGAATTATTCAGAAAAGCATAACTTGTCCTTTCCTTCCATCCATTTGTAAGCACGCTTTCTTTTGCCCTTTGGGCTTTCCTCCAACATTCTAAACATCCTTACTCTTCCTAAAGCCTCCCTTCAGGTCACATGGTTACTTGTCTCCCATATATCTGACCTCTGTGCCAGCTTCAGTGACATGGCTTTTCCCCTTCTCACCTACACTCTCTTCCTCTGGGCAGCTGATAAGAAGTTTTCTTGGAGTTTTTCTGCATTGGAGTTTTCCTCTTAAACTCTTGATATATCTTTTTTATTCTTCAACTTTAGTTCATTCTTAAATTTTTTTATTGATGAGACCAATTAATAGCCACAAAGGGACTCCACTTTCCCATTTAACCACCATTACTGCATAGGATTTATCCCAAGTTTGCAAAGGTGGTTTGGCATGCAAAAATTGGTTTAACAAAAGGTTGGTCAGTGTAAACCATACCAACAAAACTACAATAAGTCACGTAACTATATCAGCTTATTAGAGGGAATTTTTGTCTAATATACACTCATGACAAAAACTCTCAACAAGTTAGGAAGAGGTAGACTTTACCTCAGCGTGTTGAAGACCATCCATAAAAAGCAGCATCTACCATCACACTTAATAGTAAAGACAATACTTCCTCTCTAAAATGAACAAGCCAAAGATAGCTTCACTAACCACTCCTTCAATGCAATACTGAAAGTTCTAGCCCCTGAAATAAGAAAAGCACACATTTACAGATGGCATTGTTATCTGCATAGGAAATCACAAAGAATTCACAAGAATCAATTATATTTCTGTAGATACAAAATGGTTTGGTAATTTCTTATAAAATATACATGCAATTACCACTCAACAAATCAGTTGCACTCAAGTATTTATGAAAAATGGAAATTGTGTTGATACAAAATGTATCATAAGGGCTTGGAATGTAGCTCAGTTGGTAGAATGAAACATATGATTCACAAATCCTATGAATCCTGGCTTCAGTGTCTACTGCCTTTAACTGGACAAGATGATGCCAACCTACAATCTCAGCACTTGGGAGGTGGAAGGAGAATCAGGAGTTCAACATTGTCCTCATTTGCACTGCTTAGTTTGTGTATCTGTTGCTGAGATAAAATGTGGGCCAAATTCAACTTGTGGGGAGAAAAGATTTATTTCACCTTATACTTCTATATCACAGTACGTCACTGAGGGAAGTCAGGGCAGGAACACAAGGCAGGAACTGAAGCAGAGTTCAGAGGAGTACTGTGTACTAGCTTACTCTCCATGGCTTGTTCAGCTTGCTTTTTCATTCAACCCAGGATCACCTACCCACAAATGGCAACACTCAGTGGGCTGGACCCTCACACATAATCATTAATAAAGAAAATACCAAACAGACTTCCCAACAATCTATCTAGTCTTTAACCTAGTCTATGTAGTCTTT